AAAAGACTTTTTGAATCATTCGTTCAGCAAAAATAAATTCCAAGCGAACAGTTGAACAACAAAGTAAATAAGGACAGATTCCACCAGACAACAGGCCATCACAGAGATTACATTGGCGGACATAGAATTATCATCACCCTCCGCCTCATTTGCCAAAATTATAGGAAATACTAGAACTTTTAGACAGTTTTCAAAAACATCTACATGTATATACAACATAATCAAAACATTGGAAGTCAATGTTCTCATAGAACAAAATAATGATAACTTCAAACATACCGGTAGTACAGATGTTTACATGCCAGAGGCTAAACATTACCAAGGATATATACTTCCATTTGTACATGCTTGCAAAAAGACATAACCACTATTTCAAAGTCAGATTTCTAATTTGCATAAAAGTCTATCGGCAATCTAAAAGCTTCAATAATATACATGTATGCATTATATGGCGTCTCTTGTCTTAATCAGACATAACACTATGACATTTTATTTTGGTTATATGACATCAAAAGATTTGAGTGACTGCCAGCTGGGTTTGATATCAATCTGAGCAGAAATATTTATGATCTAAAGTTTAATTAAAATAAATAAAAAGCAAAAAAATAAATACATCACTATTTTAATGCAAATTATGTTTTTCGTTTATTCTTTATATTGATTTTGCTTGTTTTTTAAACATTGTCCGAAACACACATTTTCACAAACTCAATGTAAACATACTTTCATGAAAACTTGGGAGATGTTTGACCTCCGTAAAATTGATAATTTTGATTGGATGCAGCTCGAAACATGCACCAAACCAGAATTTGAATAGGATTGACCTTGGTTAGCATAGGTGGTTGGTCAGCAGCAATGCCAAGCGTATTAAAAAAATTTTTCTCTAGCAATTGAATACTAGTTCTGTGCATACCAATATCATTATATTTTCCACAGCCCTCAGTTTTTAAACAGTATGAAGTCCCAGAAGTGCTAGACAACCATCTCATAGACAAAAAAAAAATCTGTTTACATTTTTGATCTGCCATCATGCGTCACGCGATGACGATTCAGGCATCATGCACATGTTATTAAAAGCAGATATAGTGATTTTGTGAAAATATTTGGTCAGGTTTATACAATACAAGTTGTGTCATTAGTACATTATAGACATTCAAGTAGAAAATATTTATATTGTATATCATACAGGTAAAAACGACTGATCTACAGTGCACAAAACACAGACAATTGCAATTATTTCCGCCCCACAGTTGTTGGCACAGAAATTTAAAAGCTAACAAAATTGCTGATTAACTGTCGCAGCCATCATAAGTCTTACAAACCCAAATTGTTCAGCTGAGAAACTCCATTAGTGTACATATACTGCATGAGACAATCTTATAAAAGTTGCATGTACATTTCATTCAAGAGCACTATAGTGAGACTCTTCAACATATACAAGCGCTCTATCATTAAGGAGTACAGCTCGACTATAAAGTGCTGCAAAGCAAATGTATATGATATTCAAAGAACAATACACACATGATCTGAATGTACAAATGTTAAGCGATCACCAACCGCAGCACGAAAAATAACCCCAAATTTAGGCCGATTTGTTGTTATTAAATGCTACTTTTATCAAGGGTAGGAGCTTAAAAATATTCTGCAGAAACGCCACTACTTGTGGTGTCACACTAAAATGTCAGGGGACCGGGAATGACGTAGAAAGGAGTTCAATTTACGTCATCGATATTCAGAAAGTAAAGAATGTAATCCTGTCCTTAGAAGCTTTTAATATGAAACTATCCATATGATGGATTAGGTACACACACACACATATTACCGTAAAATCTGTATTTTGAACAATTGAGAACCAAAAATTCACCATTTCTCATATGTGTAGATGCTCTGTTGCATTGTACCATTTTAATACAGATTTTACAGTAGTAGTGAATGGCAAAATAAAATTATACAATTAATGCTATTGACGCTTTACATGTGCTTCAATGGGAAATGCACATCTAATAGAGAAAATACGGTATTGCTAAATCAGATTAAATCTTATAATTTGTTTGTTGGAAAGGAAAAATGGGGTCGCTGATTTCTGAAACTGAAACTGATTATTGTATTTCATCATAGCTGCATAAAATATATGCAATGATGACCTTTGTATAGTGACAGTGGAGGCAGAAAATATTGCAGGTAGAAAATTTACATAATCAAGTGCTATATTTCTTGTTTTTTTGAAATTTCTTAATTTTGAGGGGCAATCTCGAGGACAGAATATTTTCCTGACTCCTAAAATTAGCGAATATTTTTGTTGCAAAATGATTTACATTCTTACAATGTATACTGCAATATTCATAATAACGGTACTAAGGTTAGACATTTTGTATGGTCAATTTATATGTGTTTACCATGAAGTAGTTGCAAAAGACTTTTTTCACAAGAAATAGAAAATATTGACAAAAGGCTATGAAGCGGCCATATTATTTTTCATAATCCTTTTGTTTTCACTTCAATAATTGGCTGAATGTTGAAACACAAATGTATTTGATTCAATTTCAGCACATGGTAATCAAGTTTATAGCCCTAAAAAAATTGAAATAAACTGAAAAATGTTGTTCAATCTTGTACATAGTATAAGAAATTGTAGAAATAAATATATATTTATTATTTATATGTGCCAATTATTCAAAATAATTCACAGTCTAATGTGAAATCAATTAAACACCTTGTTTGACAAGTGTATATCATGTAGACAATTCAAAATAATCTTGACTAAAACAGCATAAGAGAAAACAGATTGGCTCTATATACATGTACATTGTATAAGGGGAAATTGACAACATACACTGATGTTTACAGAGTAAATATTATTATTTATGAAGGAGCATTCCATTGTGTAAATAGGCAGCGAAGGTAATTGGCAAATATAACAGTCCACTTTATGGGAAGGGGGTATAGATAAAAGAAGTGATATTTTTTTAATGATACATTTTCCTACTCCCTGTCTTCAAATATTTGGCAAAGACACTTTACCACATCATTTTAAAAGACACAGCTGAATTAAGCCCCTTGTAAGACATCTGCGGAAAGCCCTAAAGCACAATTGCATGTACATTAATTGAGTAAACTGTAATTGTATGGTTTCTAGAATTTTACATGGTTTGAAGATCTAACTATAATTACATGCATTCTGCACATTCAGGAAGCTTAAAACATCAACTAGAATTAACATACATCGCATGTACCGGTAATTCAAAGAACTCACTTGATTATTATTCTGATACTACTTCTGTAATTTTAAATACTGTTTATAATTAAAATATATTTAAAATATATCTAAATGCCAGGCAAAATATCAGTCAAATTGTTTTCCAATATGCATGCAGGTTCTCACTTTTGAAATTTTTATATTATCATAAAAATAAGACTTTTTATTGAAATGTTATTTCCAGAAATTCTGTCAAAAACCAGATGCTGTGATATGCACATTCTCAACTACCATAAAGGTAGCACAATGACTGCTCATCTGTTGATGTTAAAATCTGTTTTTGACTATGATGATCGACCAAACTCAACTTCAAGACTGGATTTCAGTTAAACACATCATTTCATATTTTCAAATATTTGAGATAAAGATCAAAATACAAACATGAATTCTTAGTCCGGTCAAGATGGCTTCACTTAAGCACAGAAATTAATTTGAATTACCGGTAAGCAAAAACACAAGAAATTAATTAAAAGCGAAAATATAATATTATGCCAATGGGCAAAACAAAATCATTTGCAACAGGTCGATACAATAGTTGTCTCAGACTGTGAGTCACACGTTTACGTAAATATAAATGCCCTGTTGTATATATCGCTTTGAGACTCATATCGAACAAAGATATGAAGCAACAACCGCTGCACTTAAAAGGTACTGAAGATTGTACCTCAAAGAGGGCAAATGCGATATTACTAATTAAATTCTAACCTTCGATTTATGAACAAATTACAACACTTAGATGTTACAGTCACCATAGCAACAATACACAGCAGGACATTGACAACGCAATACTTTGGAAAGCAAATTGAGATGAATTTCTGTTGCCCTATTATTTGTAGTTGATGAGTTAGTTGTGGAGACTTAGTGAGCACTTATTCATGCAGATACAAGAAATCTATTATCTGCAGGCAAGCTCACATCACTGGTCCATTAAACCTCAAGTACAAGAAGTGCAAAGAGCAGGAAACATCAGGAAAATGACAGTTGAAGCCTCTTTGTGCAATCGAGATTAACAAGATCACAACCAGATGATGATATTTTATAAAACTACTGCAATCTCATTCTATAATTTTTTACTAATTTAGGAGAACTTGTAGCTGATTCTGCTAAAATAATTAATTTCAGTTAAATTAGGTTTATGTTAATAACTTAGCCCTAAAATGGCTCTCAAGAAAGGGTAAAATCTATGTACAAACATAAGCACAGAGCAAATACAGTATATGATTAAAATTGCAAAGCTTAATGCCAGATGTTTTGCACATTGCATTTTTAAATCCCTTTTCAAATGCAAGATTGTTTCTTATATTGAAAGCAATGTTTGAAATTGAGGTGAAGGCAATTACCGAGAAAATTCACAGTAATTTCTGTTAGAAATGCTGGCATTGTAATTGGGTGCTCTCAGATGTTAAAGCCTTGTCAAGGTAGATGTTAAATATGCATGCATATTTCGACATTGTGACAGGGCAGGTCAAAAAATCCAGAAAATATTGCTTTTTATACAAATATGACAGTTATTAGTTCTCATTTATTATTCAACTTACATGTACATTTTTTTTCTCTGGATGTGTGACCTGTGTTACCAGGATGTGTGACCTGTGTTACCAGGAAGTATGACCTGTGTTACCATCATTTAACTAAATTCAACCCAGTCTGGTTGTTTGAAGATAGAACACTATGTTATCCAACTTTACTGAAGATATCAGAGCTGGGTTCAAGAAAGCAACATATGCAGCACCCTTTGACTCACCTCAAAAACGAAGAGAATCCCATCAAGTTCTTCTCGTTGTGCTTTGTGTACTTTTTGCTTCAGTGTGCTTTCAACGGAGATGAAATTGTCATAAAATATTTGAAATATGTGCGAGTAATATTGCTCAAAGAATGACTTAGCCTCGGATGCATCATAGTGATCTGAAACAGAAAAATAAATAATTCAGTAACTTTGCAGAATAATTCCTGATCTTTTTATGAAATAAATCTTTAAAAAATTCATTATTATATTATAAATTATAATATAATAATTAAGTTAATTTTAGTCATGTAAAAAAAAACATAATAGTGCTTGAGATACAATTGCAAAAATCAGGATTCAAATTTTTTAAATTATGCAAATTAACATGTATAAATTTTACACAAAAAAATAATCATGTTTTCAAACTTCTCTGCAGAACTGACTATACGATATCCACAAAAATGTCAAAGAGTACGTATTTCAAACATACATCTAAAAATTGGGTAATTGTTATGCAAATTGGGTAATTAATCAGCCCTTATGAATTTTCATAGGTACTAGTAGTTCTTATATAATATACCCAGATTTACTAGAACTCTGATATTTATTATGTAATTAATATAAATGTAATTGGATTTGGACTGCAGGAAATCACATGCACCATATTTCACTAAAAAGCAGTGTAAACACTTGTAAAATACTGTAAACAATCTGTCATTAAAAGTGATTCACAGTGAATTTCAGGTGGGTCCTAGGGAGTCACAATGACATTTACTTGAAGTCCTAGGTAGCCACAAACATCATCAACAGTCAGTGACTTTTACTTTGGTACATGTACTAGGACTAATCCCTAATATCTATGTACCAAATTTCAACATTCTTCAAATATACGAGAAAAAATCTAACAAATGCCTATCTATTACGCTAATAATATACTTATTATGCATGAATTTCAACAAAAACTAGTCAGGTCTTTGGACAAGTAGATTTACTAAGATTCATGATTTTATGAGTAGTAAATCTTGAGATATTTGTGGAATAGCTGATAATTGAATAATTATTTATTATTTAAATTAGACAATTAACATGCATGACTTTTGACCAAAAACTAATCTGGTTTGTGAATTGTTCCAGAGCAACTACGTGAAATTTGTGTTCCAAGAGGTATCAATAGAAAATCTGCTTATAATTATGCAAATTTAGGTAATTAATATGCAATGACTTAAACCAAACAAGCCATGCATGGCACAATCCCCGTTAGTTATCAAATTTAAGATATATAGTTTGACATTTGTATCTGATCGTCAAACAAGTACATGTCCATATTGAGCGATATTGCTCTGGAACAGCATTCAAAATCAGCCATTTTGAATACATGTATATATATAACATGATGTATAACGAATATATAAAATTTAAATATAATCAGTCAAAGCATTTAAGAGATATGGCTCTAGAAGCCCAATCATTAAAACAAAATGGCCGCCAGTCAGCCATTTTGAATCCAATCTGAAAAATAAAATGACGTGCCTCAGGAACCCGTAATGTGTAATGTTTGTACCAAGTTTGAACGAAATCCACCCATAAATGCTTGATATTTGATGATTTTTAGCACAAAAATGACTACCATTCAACCATTTTGAATAGGATAGTCAAACCAATATATCTGTTTATCTATGACATGATGTATAATGAATATTTAAAATTTTTAAATATTATCAGTCAAAACAAGTCGGAGATATGGGTCTAGAAGCCCATTCATTAAAACAAAATGGCCGCCAGACAGCCATTTTGAATCCGATCTGAAAAATAAATGATGTGCATCAGGAACCTGTAATGTCTAACAGTTTGAACGAAATCCATCCATAAATGCCAGAAATGCTTGATATTTGATTGTTTAGCACAAAAATGGCCACCATTTGGCCATTTTTAATAGGATCGTCAAACCAATATATCTGTCTATTTATGACATGATGTATAATAAATATTTAAAATTTGAACATAATCAGTGAAAGCAAGTCATAGATATGGCCAGAGAACCACATTCATTAATACAAAATGGCCGCCAGTCGGCCATTTTGAATCTTATCTGAAAAACAAAATTATTTGCATCAAGGTCCCATAATGTCTAATGTATATACCAAGTTTGAACAAAATCCATCTGTAAACAGCCGAGAAATGCTTGATTTTTAGGATTTTTTAGCACAAAAATGGCCTCAAAAATGAATCAGATCATAAAACAAAATGATGTGCAGGCATTTCTAAGATACAGGTCCGGACGCACGCACAGACGCATACACGCACACACGCACAGACACACGGAGGTCAAAACATAAGTCCTCGTTTTCGGACTGCGTCCGAACGGGGACTAAAAAACAATAGTCAATACTCAATGCCTTACTAGTAAGCTGTCCATGGTTCAGCGAGCAACATTAAAAAAATACATTAATGATAATACTGTATTAAATATTTTCATAAAATTAAATGCTTTATTATTAGAACAACAAACATTAAATAAGCTGCTCTGATAACAAATAGAATTTGAAATATCACCATTTTATGTTTTGGAAAACATGAAGTCTATGCTTGTGATTGAGATTAGAAATATAATAATCATTACCCAGAGGACTCATCACATGAATGTGAAGCACAGAGTGATTTTCCAATCGAGTCAAGAAACAAACAACACTGCATGTATACGATATCCAATTCAGCTGTAGATTCTTAAAACATTGAAGGAAACAGCTATTTCAAAAGGTTGAATATATAAGTGAGTGAACTTTCATATTCATGTGAAAACATACGCTTTAAGGCACGTATCGTGAAAACTAGACTATAACGGAAGACACTGCAGTATTGACATTCTTATTATGTTACGAAATGTCAAAGAATATAAACATACGTTTAATTACTGTGAAGTATAAATGAAAAGATCTACTGTGTGCAGGAAACGCGAGACGAAATGACACAATGGGAACACAAATAATCTGCGATCTGTCTGGGTATTTTTCATTCAAAGAACAGATTGTACAGATTTCACATTTTGTATGTTTTACACACACACAGAATGAACACACACACACACATGTATGTACAGTATTATACTACATGTACATATATGCTTGGGGTTTGTTTCTTTCATAATTATCACTGGGAGTAAAAAAAAAAAAGGTACAGCATAGAGTATGCAAATTCCATGAAAAGTAAATGCATCATTTATAAACCTTTTGATAGATTTACATAAGCATTACACCAAAGCAGACTCATCCTAATAATCACAATACAGTACAGCTAAACCATGTAGAAACTCAATTCAAGGAAGATATTGGATTGCATATTAATAACGACTGGCGTGACTGACATAAATAATTACAACAATAACAAGACAACATTAATAATGGGACCAATATTCTACGAGTATTTAAATCACTTTTGTCGCACCTCAGTCATGTCCAACATCATCATGCTGATTGGTATGAATGAGGTCATGTGGGAGACATGAAAACTGTGGTTGGCTTAAGGTGAGGTTGACTTCTTATTTCAGCACATGCTTCGTTAACATTTTAAAATTAATTCTTCACCTGACAGTTCAAATTTGTCTGCTCTAGAACCTTCCGGGGAATTAACGTTTGATTTGAGTTTCTACTTTGCATGTCTTAAAGAGGGTAATGGAAATGAACGACTACAGTAAATTCTCTGTCAATTCACCATAGTAAACACAATTGTTTTTTCAAGTGTGCAAATTGAAAGAATACATTTTGACATTCGCTATGATTTGATCTGGCATTGATAGGTTTTGCGAGTTGTTCACTTATATGGCACAGTGGCTGGTGATGCACAGAGCTTTGCTGACAAGTTTGCAAATCTACCAAAAAATAACAACAAAACATTCATAATTTAGATGCAATCAGATCCACACAAAAATTATGACAGGGATCAAGCAGTTATCAAAGATGTGAACTCACGCATCACTATATATGGGTGCAATGAACATGGCACTTCATGTTTGATTTGATGCTTCACTGTATCCATATTACTGAGGAAATGTTACCAACTAACGATATATGCATTGTTTAGAAGCATTAAATTTCCTTACACATACCTGTGCATGTAGCATTGTCTATGTTACAAAAAACTGAAATTTTTGTTTTAATTGTCGCAGATTTGTTGTTCTGCGATCTTTGGCCATGGAGAAGTACGATATGATAGTTAACATGCTTTCTGTGTTAATATGCCTAAAAAGTTAGACTGTTACATAAATTAATACAATTTTAAATCTTTTTTGAAACATCCAGAATGAAAAGAATACATTTAATAATTTGTGTTTGAAAATTAACTGGGTATGCGAATTCATAGAGAAACAAATCAAAAAGAGTTATATCAATTCAAGACAGGAAAAAACATGCATGGAAATACACTTAAACAATAACAAGATGACCATGACCTGGCAGCTGTCAAGGTGTTGAATACGGAGCTTTACTTGGTTCAATGAAACAGATACTTATTTCACTGTTGGGTCAATATTACAGTTTACACGACTCACAGAAAAAAAAATATATTGATCCCAGTAGTAACTTGTTCAATACTATCTCTTCAGGTCATCAAAACTAAATATCGACCTCAATTTCAGAAATACAGATATACAAATGTATAGGGATATAGCTACATGACTAGTGTATTCTCAAGCACTAGGCGAGGAGGGATACAACTTCATGAGGATTTTCACACAGGTGAGGAATTTTGAGGAATTCTATTAAAATTTATCATAAGTACAGAGAGTCATTCTCATGCATGGATAGATTTCTGGCCGAAATTGTTTGATCAAGTATACAGCAGGACTATTTGATGTATACTTTTGCTGCAAATGCTATATTATGCCCCCCCCCCCCCACTGGACAAGCATCTAACGTAGTGTATTCAGTGCCGAACATTGCTATTACAAATCAGCCAATAGTAACTACCAGTAGGATATCCATATGTACCGAGTGCATTAATGTATTTGCATGTAACACAGTTCTGTCCATTTCATAAAATTTGTTTTGCAATGAAATTAAGGTCTTGTACCTTTATGTAGGCAATGCAATGACAAAGCTTAAACCAAACATCATTTAACATTTTTGTCAACTTATGCATACATCATCGTACACTGTAAAACAGATAATAGAAAATTCCTTGCAGAAACTGATATGATGATGTAACAAGCAGCCTGTCAGCTGAGATAGCTCCGCTGTTAGCAATGCACATTTCAATTAAAGAACTGAAGATATCATTAGAAAATGAACAATATGTAGACTTGCTGTTTTTAACAAGAATTCAAAAATATCACTTTTACCAAAAATGACAAAAATTATCATTAAAATTAGATAATTGAAGATATCACAACGAAATGAACACATCTGAGAGAGGTCCATATGTAGTACCTATATATGTAAAATCAAAGCAATTGGACTTGTGGTTTTCAACAAGAAGTCGAAAGTATCACTTTTTACCAAAAATTACAAAAATATTCATCAAAATTAGAGAATTGAAGATATCATCATGAAATAAACAAATCTGAGAGAGGACCCCATGTAGTACCTATATATGTAATGTCAAAGCAATTGGACTTGCGGTTTTCAACAAGAAGTCGAAAATATCACTTTTTACCAAAAATGACAAAAATATTCACCAAAATTAGAGAATTAAAGATATCATTACAAAATGAACAAATCTGAGAGAGGTCCACAAGTAGTATCTATATATGTAATATCAAAGCAATTGGACTTGCAGTTTTCAACAAGAAGTCGAAAATATCACTTTTTACCAAAAATGACAAAAATATTCACCAAAATTAGAGAACTAAATATATCATTACAAAATGAACAAATCTGAGAGAGGTCCACATGTAGTACCTATATATGTAATAACAAAGCAATTGGACATGCGGTTTTTAACAAGAAGTCAAAAATATCACTTTTTACCAAAAATATTCACCAAAATTAGAGAATTGAAGATATCATCATGAAATGAACAAATCTAAAAGAGGTTTACCCAAGGTACATATACACCAAGTATCAAAGCATTCAGGCTTATAATTTTCAAGAAAAAGTCGAAAAAGTAAAACATTGACACGGACGACAGACGACGGTCAATCACTCATATGATAAGCTTCGCTCGACAAAGTCGACAGCGGAGCTAAAAATATCCCCAATATTACTTCCCCACATTTTATGTTTCAAAACTTTCTCTACTTTTGTAGGTGTACTCTTAGTCATATACATCTATGGATCACATAGAAATATGGATTCACATACCGTTCACACACCGCATTTGTTGAAATAGAATGGCAAAATATGAGTTATTTGGATCATAGAAACAAACACCGATGTTATTCAAGTATTAGCGCATTCAAAGCAAATATAGTATGTATAGTGTGAGCTCACAATGAAAAGAGAAAAGATCTATGCATGCGACAATTGAATTTTTATGGTATACAATTAGTAATACAACAGCATAATTATTCATGCTACTGTACTGTACCTACATGTAGAGAAATAATTTAAGGTATGTGATTGCAAAACATCATGTACCCTCTCAATTCTACACTTTGATGATGCATACAAAAATAGATACAAGGTTTTCCTTCCACTCATACCCAACAAAATACAAAATGGAAACATATTTTTTTGTTTTCTGGGACTCTTATAATATAATTGGGCTTATTTATACTGGTCAGCAAAACTGAAGTCCCTTATGCCCAAGGGCAAGTACATTTTTGAGAAAATGTATTCTACCATTCCATCATAGTTGTCATCTCTCATAATCTAGTATGCCTAGCTGATTGGAAGAGAGTCAATCATGTGGAATGGAATAACTTACAATATACCACCCAGTTTATGCACATTACACTAACATTCCACCCTATTGGCATCTGCATGTAGGACAAACCATACAAGTTCACGGTAGCAAATTTTGACATTGAAATACTGTACTCTGAGAGTCCAAGTACAGACATGTGTCGCAAACTTGATTACTATATGACAACCAGAAAATAATTGCCAACAAAGATGCAGATAACCACCATAGTATTTCCCTTCCTGTGGCACAAGCAGCTGATTAGATAGTGTCCGTGTAAATTGCTTGGAACATCACAACAACACAAATGAAGCGCACACTTTTAATTGTGTACACAAATACAACTAGGTCAGCAGTGGGGTCAGCAGATGACTGAATAACATCAATAACATAGAATAAACACATTGAAAATAGGATAAATATTTCCTTATACAGATCTATTGTCCCTGGACTGTTGTGCCTGGCTGCAGTGCTTGCCATGGACATTCGAATCACTGATTTAGTAAGTAAACTCTCAAAGTTGAGATAACAGAACAATTATTAACTGTAAGCTTCGGTTATCAAAATATTTGTCTCTCTGATGTGACAATAACTTTCAAATCTTCCTATACCTTCAAGGGTAGATAATAATTATATATTGCAGACCTTGTGAAATCTAAATGAGATAATTTTTCTGAGGTAACTTGGGTAAAATTGTTTTAGTGCATTCAGGTGCTACCAAAATTGTAATCCCATCTCGAACGGAGCAATTAAGTTCATATGATAAGCACAACATATGTAAGAGAGACACATGTTAGGTATTCAACTCTGACACAAATGAACACACATATGACAGGTATGTATAATGTCTGCAAGTAATCCACAATATATATACATTTATACTACATGTATTGAAACAACAAAATAATTTTTTTATAAATTTTACAATTCAAACTGAAGCAAGAGATATTATTTTTAAATCATTACCGGGAGTATACACTGAACTCGTCAAGCGGTTGGTTGGATTTAACTACCGCAACAATTTATAAATATTTACATTTCTATAAAGATCATGAGAATTAGTGAAAATATTTCAGAGGAATAGTAACACACAATGATGGTCTTAAATGCCTCCATGTATTCAAGCTCTGTCAATTAAGTATACATCTTTTAAAGACATTAGATTTAAATTAGCAGAACAGCATGGGAACCCGGTGGTGTAATTATAGATGTAAACCAATTGACAAGTAACTCGACAAGCAGCTTTTTTGTCAATTGTGTCAGACAGCAACAAAGATGTTACAGTGAAATTCCATATTCAATATAAATTAAATTGAATTTTGAGTTGAATTAATTATACTCCACACTAACACTTTTATAATAGACTGACATAACTAAACCTGAACGGTCACAGCCATCAAACCAGTACGTGTGCAATGTTTAAAAAAAAAAAATCTGATGACATTTATACACTTTAAAAATACTACATCCACAAGAAATAGATACAATTAATCTCATCATGTACCACCACGTCTGCAAAGACATAATATACAAATACTAATGGCATTGGTATTTCAAGCCTTGAGGCAACATTGTAATAAATATCACAATGGTCGACAATAATTAATATTGATGTTTGAAAGAACATCAATAACCGTTCACCTTTCTGCAATATAAAATAAATCCTATTTTGTATCTTAGTATGATTTAATAACATAAACATGCAGTTAATTTGGACAGCTAGCGATCATGCTCGCCCACATGTGCGCGTATAATACGAGTACTTGTCATAGACTTGAAGGTGAAATTAAATATTCAAATCTAAGGATGGATCATATGAATTAAAATTGAATAAATGATGTTGAATTGAATGAATCTAAAACACACACTCACCGAGAACCACACGAAGGTGTTTCAGCCTGGTCAAAGCATCCTTTTTAGGATCCAATACTTTCTGAGATGATTTCTTGACGTCGCCATGTTGCTTCTTGCTGAACATTTCAGATTTCTGCTGTTGAGAACAAAATTAAGCAGTGGTTTATTGACCAGTCAGTGCAGACATCATTCATAAACAAGCCGCCATTTCTACCTTTCCTATTTCAACATGGCCGACATGATAATTCTGAGCATGCGCCACGCGTGGACTTTACAGACTTTGTTGTTATTATTATTTACGACTCATATTCGATGGGAACTCCAGCGAAAGTAATACTTTAAACTGATTGGCATGTTCATCCGAAACAATTTACATTTAAGGAAAAAATATACAACTTCAGTTATTTTGAAGCTGTCAATAAATTAATATTATTTCAACAGTGAAAGTAAAAGTGTACACGGTACAAATCTCGCCATTCGCGAGATTAGATCATGTGATGGACAGTCACCTGACTTTTGACCTCGTCATTACTTCCACTCTTCCTGTGTTTGCGAACTGACCGACGAATCCCTTCAGCATCCCGTAGCCCACGTTGTAAAATGGTGCCGAAACCAATGCTCTTCGCGCTTTTTTGCGTTGCTGTTCTCCCCTCCATATCTCTTCAAAAGACGGTCACCTACAAAGATTGCGGTAAGCTCAAACCTGTCGTGCGAAAAACAGACGTCGCCCAGGATACGATGCATGGCAAATCGACTCGAAAACTGCCATTGCTATTTTCAGTATGCGCTAAAACGGACTTATGATGGTTAGTTTGTAATTGAGCTAACTATGACGTGGTTTACTTATCTACGTCAAATCCAGATAACCGCACCAGTAAACTAATAGCCTCCCGGTTTCTATATTTATTCTTTGTTTGGTACCTGTGGGAGATCTCGTGACTTGGGGATGTCATTGTCACGAGGTGGCGCACTTGTCAATGTGGCTATAGTGTATTTTGCCAAGTACATTTGTACTAGTATTCCAATAAGTATACTTGTATCATCAGCAAGCCTTTCATTTTTAGTGGTGGGGGCACTCAGTACTTGATGCCTTGGGTGTACTCTCTAGCCAATCATTAATCAATAAAAACAAATATTAATGTTTAAAAATATGGTACAGCATTCTGCCTTCTCTGTGCTATAGTACCAACAATTTATAAAAGGATATGCAATGTGCATTTACATGTAGGTCTCAATATGATCAGGAAATTGCAAAACAAGACTGCATTATGAGAAATGTGTAAGTCTGTTGAAAAAGTGCTTAGTGTTAGTCTTGACTGATTTTTGTTGGTTCTTGTTCATTCACATGTATGCATGTATTACATGCTTTTTTGAATAAGGCAATGACCTTGCTCATCTCTGTTTGCGTAACCGGAACCTTTCCAAGTGTCCACTGCGGTCGGTCGTGTCATCGGAAAATGTGGTCAATTGACACTCACATGGGACACATGAGATCTTCATTGCATATCACCATACATTGATATTAAAGTTGCATACCCTTATCTTATAAATCCTTGCTGTAGTTCTTAATCAAAAAAGGGGCGTATTTGTTTGTCTTGTCAGCACATAGTAATATATTATTTACAGTCGGAATTTTTTACTGCCTGGATCACTGCCTTTCAAATAAAAATTGTGGTTTATTTTGCATTACAAATGTATTCTAATATTATTTATGTAGGTACAGTTTTCAGAGTTGGGTTTAAGTTACTACCAATTTCATTGGAACTTCTCCATTGTTTTTTGTTTTGCATTTTTCGCTTGCTGTATTTCAAACTAATTTGTATTTTTAAAACTGTCTAGGCATTCAACAAATTGTCATTATTCAGTAAAATGGTAAATAACCTGTATGATTGAGTCATTAAAAAGCATTTGCTTTGTCACTGATGTGACCAGTAAGGGTGACCCCCCCCCCTCCCTATTGACTGACTTGAACCAACTGCTAATGTACGTCCTATTGGTAGTAGCAAATGCATCAACGTGCACAGCTACTACTCTATATAGCAAAGTCGAACTGACTGATCAGTCTTCAAATTGGTTGCTAGTCATCAAAAATTGAGTCTGAAACAATTAGTTTATATGAAATCAACATTGTTCAACTTCTCATGAAATTTCATCAAAAATATTTTAAAAAAATGCATTCTATTCTGTAATGTGTAATTTTGTTTACTACTGGTAATGATTGCTTTTCGCACTCAGACTTTCAGACAGACATGTTAAGTAGTGCTAATTTGATTCAGATAATGCCTTCTATTGCCAATATTCATCAAATTCATGTCATGAAGAAAAGGTTTTTAATTGACTAACTGAATTGATGGATTCTGTATGAAATTTGTGTCAAGTCCAATTTTATTTCATTATTATTTTATTTAATTTAATAAAATCTTTTACCAATATTTTTAACTTTTTCAGACATTATTCAAAAAATATTTACAAAAATATATAGTCACAACATTGTCTAAGGCAGTAAAATCTATGGCCTGAAATGTCCTTAGCCAAAGTGTCCACATGAAATGTTTACATTCGAAATGTCCACAGCCAAATTATCGAGAGCCGAAATGTCCACAGTTAAAATGTTTACATTGAAATGTTCACAGCCGAATTATCCACACAATTATATACATCCAAATTAAAATATCCACAGCCAAAATGTTAATCTTTCACAAGATCAGTGTCATTCTGATTAATGTCTTTCTTTCCCATGTTGACCGATTTTATCCTATGTTAACACTTTTAGAGAATTTAACATTACATAATTTTCATTCATTGATTTATTCCACTAGGATCTGTAATGGGTTCTATTCAAAGTGTTGAAGTTTCACCATGTTCATCTGAACCGTGTGTATTCAAGAAGTCTTCTAATGTAACAATTACGATCCACTTTACAGCAAGTAAGTTCATATACATTTGTAATCAACTCTACCATCTAGTGTATTTTCTGTGTACCTCCATTTCACCAATAGATTTTTCAAGGTTTTTAATCAAATGCATACATATAGTGCAACTGTTTGAAATGCTTATTTCAAAAGGATGTTCCAGATTGCAAGATTTGAATGTGACCTATTATGTAAATTGGTCAGATCTATGAGCAGCTTTCACACACAAAAAATGACAAAATCAAAAATTAAAAAAAGTACCAGTAAAGAAATTAAAAAAAAATAACTAAAACCCCCAAACAGATCAGAATGTAATACATGTACCTAAAAACTGCAAGTTTGAAAGTGGTGTCCAAGTCATTCCCTTGCTTTGTATACATTGTATATAATATATTGTAGATATCACCATAGGCAATAGACTGTATGATACAAGATACTAGTACCGTTTAACTCGCACCTCTTTGTGAAAACCATCTCAATGTACTTTCAGATGCCATGATAATGCTCTCTCAATCCTAGCATTTCCCCATGAACTATAAAGCCAAGATGAAAAGTATGCAACCAAGAAGATGTCATTCATCTGTGAGGGTGTATGTCATGCTTTGTATCAGAACCAACAAAAACACTTAAAGTCCTGTGAATATACCCAATCTGTACTGTAATGTAATGGATCAGAGATTTGCAATTTTGCAATTATCTATTTTTATATATTTTTTTTTATAGAAGAAGCAGTTACTAAGGCAACTTCATCTGTGCATGGTATCATTGGGGGTGTGCCAATTCCATTCCCACTTCCCCAACCAGATGCATGCAAAGACAGTGGCCTTAAGTGTCCACTTGTATCTGGTCAAGCCTATGATTTTCAGCAGCAACTTGAGGTGAAATCATCTTATCCATCGGTAAGTGTATTCTGGATTTTTCTGAAGCTGCTGCACAGTTGGGTGTAAAAGGTTTCCTAAGTTTATTCATTATTGGGAAATGAGAAGACAACCTCAGATAGGCCTACTCAAACATCTAGACTAATTGTAAACACTTATTGATATTTGTTGTAATTTCTGTCATTGTATTCATTCATTCATTCAATCAAGCCTATTAAAATGTTTCTCATAATTGTTTCAGTTGAAGTTGGTGGTTGAATGGGAAATCAAAGACCAGGCCAACAAAGACATTGTCTGCATTGAAGTGCCTGCACAAATTTCCAGTTAGTTTCATCAGAAACCCCAAAGACAGTGAGGGGAAAGTAACTAGTTACTATTCTAGAATTAATAAGACTACCCCCCCCCCAAATGTTGTTGTTCTGATAACAAAATCTTGACTCCAAACTTGTTTCACTAAAAGTTATTCAACCATGCAGGATTAGAGCAAAAGTGTTAAATTTCAGAGGATTGTTAGCAACTGCCAATGAATGTACAAGAATTATTCAAAATGACGTTGAACCACAACATGCTTTATCAGAACTAAACAATTTTTGAGGGGATGTAATTTTAATAGAATTATTGTACACAGTTTTTCAACATTTATCTATTGAGGGACTGTGCTGCAGTAGTGTGTAGTAGTTTCAATGTTCACATTTAATATTGCTATGTTAGATACTACTCGCAAACCACTGCCGTCACATACAAATGTATTCCGACTGAATTTCAGTTATGAAGCCTTCACTGTGGGTCAGAACACTGTAAACATTGAGGTACTGTGATTGATGTAAAACGCAAACCTGGAAAGTTATTCATTTTATGAAAACTTGTGGTCTGTTTTCATCTCTTGTTAAAACAATGTAGGTTTACGAAAATTTCATTGGTGTAAAAGTTTGTGGTTTACATTCTCAAGATGGATCCAATTAAACCATGACTACTGTGATTTGCAATCTGTCTGAATCCAGTCTGACAGGAGTAATTCACACAAGGCAAAAAGTGGTATAAATATTAAATATTTTTAATGTAAAATATAACAATACTGAATGAGATATTTTGATAGCATACACTTTTATTAACTCTTAATTATTCAGAATTCCACCAAGAATTTCATAAAACAACTCTTTGGAAACTGATATAAGTAATCTTGGAATTTTTTATATAAATAATCAAGATACACTATTACAGTTTTAGAAACTTATTCCATCTATGCATGCATCCTTTTCACTTTTAATAGAGCAAAATACAATATTCACTCAAGGTGTAATTGTAACATGCCTTCTCCCAACCCCAATGTTTGTGTAAATATCAATACTACCCTAATCTTTTTCCCTATAACAGGGTATTTTTATATATTTTTTCCAATAGTTAAGTAATTCTGCAAACAAATTGAGAAGTGTTTTTGGTTGTTTACTGTAGAATACTTTATTTTCGCTTGGAATTTATTTTCGCTATTTTCGCTGAAGGGATGATTCCGTGAAAATAAAATCCAGCCAATATACTTTTTTCCCTATATTTCACATTAAACTCATCAAAAACCAGTGAAAATAAATTCCATACAAAACGCCCAAAAAGCCTTTTCAGCGAAAATTAATTCCAGCGAAAATAAAGTATTCCACAGTATGTTTTTTCTGCTTTGGTAGGCAGACCATTATCAAAGATAATGTAACATTTTTGTAATAGTACCGCTACATATATATGGACTCGTTTCCAAGGGAACGTTTAATCCATACTGATTATGTAAAATAAAAATTATATTCTGTATCATGTATTAAAATTTGAGAGAAAAAAATATCTGCAAAGTAAAGGTTGAATTCCAGATGCATGTATATGATATGCAAATGTCTTGTTATTTGTTGCTGTACACAAAATTATAACGATTATTATGGCAATTGAATTTTTACACTGATCATTGTGGGGATCAGGGTAGTTTATACTGTAATCATGTTTAACCGCTAAGCTTAGAGTATACTCTTTTTACTCCATGCTACACTCTTTGTTTGTATTTGTAATATAGACTGGTTTTCTGTAATTCACTGCATCATGAAATATCAACTGTTTTTATTTTTGTCTGAAAATAAATTTGTATGTGGAAAAAAAACTTGTGTGAAGCTGTTTTGCTACAATAAACGCATTTGTTCAACCTACATTTGAGCAAAAGGTATTTTCCAGTGTGTTGTAAATTGCTGCAAGAGCACGTGTTTTGTTTGTATTAATGAATGGACTTCGGGGAGGTGTAGTAGTGAGAGTTTTTATTGCATCACTCCCACATCATAAATTGCCAGGGTAAAAATTTGAACAATGTGAAGTAATCTGTGATCACGAGTGGTACACTGTATTAGCAATAGACGCCCCCTCCCTTACCTATGCACATACAAGACAAATATATTGATTGCAATTTTGATATCCTAAAAATGTTTCAATAAAATAAAAACAGATTTTAACCTGGTTGCCAGTGGGCCATATCATTTAATGCACTAATAACAAGGTTATTTGGTTGGAAGTCTCAAAGATGCCAATAAAGTACTACAATGGGAAAATATTCGTATATAGTTGCAAATGTATTGGAATGAACTGCAGTCGCGAAGGCCGGGGAGAAATCAAAAGTACAGATTGTGTTTTGCAGGCAATTGAATGGCGCAATTTATTTGGAGAAAGACAGGATAATTGGGTCGGACAAAGGTGATTCAAACGACCAATAAAAACTACGTGAAACCACACTACGCATTTGGAAACAAATGAACTAACTGTCCAAGCATCATGCTGGTCTTTTCACTAAATGTATATACTGTGTTTTGGAGGTCGATGAAGTATTGACAGTATGCACTCCAGGAGGGTAATATGTGCATTCAATGACAAAACGCGCACGACAGGAAAATAATGATGTCATTAACACATTACTAAAGTGCTGTCCGGGAAAAACTTGTTTTGTTGACTGCCGTGAACTAACTACTACGCAATTAAGACTCGTACATCGTAGCTTTACAGGTGAATACAATATATCGTATCGTGCACGTGACAACCATTTTGAAAATTTATAAATACACTAACTAAAAGTAAATCAAAATTTTCAGTAATATATATACATGTATATATATATATATATATATATATATATATATATATATATAAACTAATTCAAAAGAACATCAGGTTACCATTTCAGTTTAAACTAGTCTCTACCAAATTGACGTCAAATCCCTTCCACCCCGCCCATCCAAAATCAGGATACAACGGTATTATCACATCGTCCTGCTATGAACACTTTCCCGACTAGAATCTACTGCCAACGATAAGTTGTGTTCGCCCATGCGCCAATTCTCACCTCCAATGTTTCACACAGTTCTGATGAGTTTGGGCCGAAATGATGGAGGTGCTCTCTCGGATGCTTGCGCTGAATGGATTACGCATTTCCAATGGTTTATAATCATTTGAATTTAATATAATAAACTCTGATTCCTTTCCACTGGGTTGATTAACGTTTTGCTAGGCTTGTTTTGCATCTCATCACAATGATGCTTATTCAACTATTGGCTAATTTAAAAGCATAATGTCAACCCGGTGCTCAGACTACATGTACTAATACAAGTAATGTTAGTTGTCTGAACCCGGTGTAAGTGTCATGAATTTGTTTTTGCGTATCTGTTGACCGACTTAATTAGCTGATTATTAGCGAATTGCTGTGTTATGTCTGTCATCGTTTAGACCTATTTGAAGTTTTGGACGGAACTTGGCTCAGTGATTTGGAACTAATTACGAGATAACCGTCGCTATTCTGACTACGATTCTGACAGTTGGTATTCGTAGTTATTAATGTAGTGAACGATTAATCAAAAGATATGACGTATTCAGTACTTAGTGTGGTTGGCTAGTATGATTGAAGGTTACGCCTTAGAGTCTTTTTCTGTTTTGTAATTGGTTAGAGTTTTGAAAATGAATAAAGAGAGTTTGAGTTGGTCTTGGGGAGTACTCCACGAAAGACGCAGTCCTGGAGAGCCTTGGGGCGAGTGTTGACGCAGTTTAAGAGAGTCTTGGGTCAGCCTTGCGATAGTCTTGGGGATTTTTCCCCAGGGCGCTGTGTCTTATAGAGTGCTCGAAAGACCGACTAAGGCGAGAGCTGAAACGTATTCCGTTGTGTGTGTCTTATTTGACTGTTAAGTATAAATGACTTTTCTGATCCCGTACCTCAAGGAGACGAGATAGAGAGACGAGACGAGATTCCCCCCTGACAAGTGTGGAGAACCCCAGAGAGAAGAATTCACCCCTGATATAAGCACTAGCCTCGACTAAAAAATAAAATAGTAACCCTGGCTTTGGGCAAACACTCAAGCAAAATAGAATGAGTTACGTTCGAAATGTTTACGCCTTAGTCTACGCGAGGAAATTCAGGCTTTTTGGGCGTTGCCATGCAAATGGTAGGGTAAGACTTCTTCCATATTGTTTCACCTAACTGCAGGTTTCCCTGTCTGTCAAGTTTGAACAAAATCGGCCACAGAAAAAGTTAAAACTTCATTGCTAACGAAACGAGAGGTCACCACAATTTCGGGGTCAAATGTCTTGGCAACGAAGAAAAAATATAAAAAACAAAACAAAACAAATAGTAACACACTTAATCACAGAATAAATAGATATGTCCGAGATGTTTACTCCAAGCAGAAGAAGATACATTTAGCATGAGAAAAAAAATCATTACTCCCATATTGTAGGGCGCCCTCACAGCTCCCTGTCAGATACTGTATGAATTCCAATTATATTTCTTTTTAGTTAAAGCCATCAATCAGTGTGTTCACTCATAAATTATTACACGTAAGTTTGCTTAATATATTGCAACGGCGGAATTGTAGAAATATTGGTAATGTAGGATAAATGAACGACCACAAAATGCTCACCCATGTTTTTTTTCCCCAGTGAGTTTCCATAACTTAATCCCGTGTGCACAAACAATTGCTTGAAATGCATTGTTCCTTTTTATATGTCATCTTTCCGAAAGTATATACCATGTGTGACATGGTTCATAATATTTGTATATAAAAACTATCCCAATTACAAATATGGTGTTTTTCTAGTAGCAACAGAACATCATACGACACATGTATGATGCCAGGAGCAATGCAAATATATTTTCGTTTTTATTCATTTTTATGCCACTCTCGAAAATCGTTTATCCACACTGTTCACCTCATGCGTGATCCAACTAAACTACATTGAATGATTGCATAGTTTGTAGGTTGGTTATTCTTTGTATGTCACTGTGTGTTGGGTATACTTAGTCTATACACACATTTAATTCGGCAGAATTTCACAAACAATACCAATATACTCAGGTATAAGCAGCGAACGTTAACTCAGCCACTGACTCGAGACTAAGTAGCTTCGGGTCAAGTAGCAGTACTTCTGTTATACACCGTAATACAAACACCCTACTCCGACTGTACATGGACTAGCCCTGCGTGCAGTGCTGTGTGTACGGAGACACCACCACAGCCCTGCGAACTTCCATAGACAAAGTACGGGACTTTGAAAAATATAACTTTTTTAATGAAATAACATGACCAGGTACCCAAAATGATGATCGATTACCAGATATATCCAGAACTTCCAGTTCGGAGTCCAATTGTGGATGAAATCGGCTACTTTGCCCTAAAAACAAACGCATTCTCTCGCGTGAATGAAATAAAAAATGGCGGCGTTTGGTGGATGATTCCTCCGGTACCTACGCGTTTACAATTTGACCGTCTTTACTAGTTGTTATTTAAAAACATTTCAGTTTCAGATAACTTTGTAATGGTTGTTACGGATAACTATCGTCATTTCAAAAGATTTCGGCTGGGAAACTACTCATTTTTAACTTGCGCACCAATTACGGTGCGCTCCCGGACTTTGTCTATGGAGGTACGCAGGGCTGAGGTGGGGACATCTGTCAACCAAACGCGTTCCCGTACACACAGCACTGTACGCAGGGCTATACATGGACTTGCTAACTTACAGTCTCGAGTGACACAGCTTTGCTTTGTTTTTGTTTTTGTTTTTTAAATGTTTTTAAAACTGGACACTTGGGGTAGTTGAACGACTACATTTGAAACAAATCAGTAGATTTGCTTGACAAGTACGGTCACCGAACAACTTTTCGCACATAAAATGAAACAAACATCCATGAACTTTTGATCTAAAGAAAGATTTATTAATTTGTTCCTTTATAACCGGCATCTCGGCATATCTCAACATTATGCTCGGAAATAAATAGTGACCAAATAGTATGCAGTTATGATACTGTTATAGCTGTCATGAATTATTAGGACATTACAATAAAAAAATAAGCAAATAACACCGAATAAACGGCAAGGTAAAGACTATGTCTAATTATAGTAAACACGTACTGCGTGCGTGACTCGAACCGGCACTCGCGTACGGCGCGGCACCTAATCGCCTAGCTTCACGCCACTACACGTCTTCCCGTCGGCCACCGGGCATTGATTATGACAGCGAATCGTAACAATGTCGACAGCCTCGTTCCGTGATTATGACAGCGAATCGTAACAATGTCGACAGCCTCGTTCCGTGATTATGACAGCGAATTGTAACAATGTCGACAGCCTCGTTCCGTGATTATGACAGCGAATCGTAACAATGTCGACGAAAAAGTCATACATGCAAAGTCATAATGCATGTCTTTGTAGATCCAGTAAGAAAAACTGCCAAAGAGTTATTGGTGAAAACAAAGTGCTGTTTAGAATTTGTGTGGAATATGTTTAAAACATGCTCTCATGTGGATGTAAAATTAGTTATTAATTCGGGCTATATAATCTCTGTTGTTTTATGAGAACATCTGATAAACAAGAGGTTTGCAAAATAACAAACCTAAATGACAGTTGTCAAGAAGAGCGCCACCACTTGGAATCTTGAATGACCCACATGCAAAGGATGGGATACCTTTCAGACTAAATGGAGCAACGGGTAATCATTTCCTCCAGTCAACGCATACCACTCGCTCACGACACTGCCCAAAAAACCATGTCACATTCTCAAATTATAGTAAATTATAGTGCATTTGGAATTGCTATGGCAAAATCGAACCGTGATCGAACACAACTCCGCCAATGACACAAAGCGCACCCGCTAGTGCAAACCAAACTATCCCACTGTGCACTAAAATATGGTCCATGTCACCAATGTATGTATATACGTTTAACAGTGATAAATTAGAAATCCATATAGCCTTACTGTGTACCTAGTACTCTACGGAACAACACCATACAGTGTGTTCGTCAACATTTAGTAAGTGTACACCATGTAAACACTATCACCCGTGACAACGGATAGAACAGCAAGGAATGTGTCAGTGAAAACTAACCATATACGTGGGAAAGTTCACCCGGTGGTATACCGGAATCTCTGACAAATGCTAAGGATATATTGCAAGTATCCCTTTTCAATTAACACTGTTTTGACAAATATATAGAACGTTTGCAATTTGTTTTCTCCCAGTGTATATTTGTCAAGTGATATCCTTTGGTAGCTTAATATTAATTGACAGCTATTTTTTCCATCAGTTTCATATGAGTCTCGCCAAAGACATTCTTTGATCTCGCCTTGTCGTTGATGATGTAATATTGACCCCATAACTCCTCCGTGGATTGCAATATGACTGCATGTAATATTAAGTGCGGCACTGGGCTTCAGTGTATATATGGCAGTGGTTACACCCCCAGTGTTACACGTCGCGTAACCACACATCATAATAATTATTAATACTGTATGTATGCTTTGTATTATATATTCAGAACATAAAAAGCCGGACGAATCAGGTGATTTAGTGCCGTGGTCGCCAGTTCGAATTACACGTCTGGTACTTTTCCCCCATGTATAGGTATCGTTGAATTATCTCCTTATTCGGGCCAATTTAGAAATAATCGATGTAACCAGGAAGCGATGGATAAAAAAGCATGAACTATTAATGACATAATGTGGAGTTTTATTCTGTTCTTAGTCGGACCAATAAAGCATGATCTATTATAAAATGAAAATAATATTTTGGTAGCAAATATAATACATGTACTAGTATTCTACAACAACACAACATTTCGTCTTGGAAATTTGAAAACGATAATCGATGCTTCATTTTAATCAATCTATTTTACAAGGAAATCATAAACAGAGGATTATGGGAATATACAATTATAAAGAAAGACACATATATTACGAACAACATATAGTATGTAGGTTACAACATTTCAACAAATTGAATCTCTTAATTTTACTTCTACGTATTTTTTTTAATTTCCTTTACAGACAGGCAACGCAGCTAGGATCACAGGCTGAAAATAAACAATATTATGTTATAATAATATTATAAAAGTAACAAACAAAAACTTTACGAAGTTATATTTACTCAGCCAAGCGATGAGAACTAACAGAGCAACAACAACAACTACGACGACAACATTAACATCGACAGCAACATCACCAGCAGTCAATATCTACTGAGGTTTTAGCCAAGGACAAAGGTCACAACAATTAATACATTACCTGCATATTCGCATATGTATCCTTTTGAGTCGTTACAGTAACCATCATCCCAGTCAAATTGACGCATTTTCCTGTTTAATTTGGGAAAAAAGTAAACCAATTAGTTTATTACCCTAATAATGTAGTATCATAGTTTATATATTGTACCTCAATACGGTGTTAAAGCGGGGGAGGCATGCGTCAGATGGCCATAGCGTGTCATTGTCTACAAACAAGCGTCTACCCATGACCCTTTGCGTTTTAGCGTGCGTTGTTATCGTCGCTTGGGACTCTAATTCCCGCGCGTGCGCAGGTGAGGACCATCCCGCTTTAAGTACTGACGTCACGATACCCCGTAAATTGTGCCTTTTATCGACAACATGTACATTAGCATCCCCTGCATTTAACTCACCACAGCTGCACGCAGTCCTGTCCATTGTCGTCTTTCTTGTCGTTGTTATTTGGTTCATCTGCGGCCCATCCTTGATATTGGCTGCACTCGTTTAAGTCTAGCTCCTCACCATCGACCCACATGTAACGCCCTTCCTCGTCTTTGTCACCAAGCCCGATCCATAGACCTTTCCCGGCGTCGTTAACGATTGTTGACGTTAACTTCGCCTCCTTTATGTAATCGACGATCGCTACGTGGATATCTTGGCTTCGTATCTTTGCGAGCATTCCTCCGTTGATCTCACATTTTAGCTTGGCAGCAGACCAGTTTAGAGGGTCTAGGTAAATCTGATAGTTGCGCCCCTCACAAATTGGACCGAAAGCTTCAAAGAAGAACATGAACCAAGTTAACAAAATAATATCCGAATATAGCAACCATACGAAATAATGGCATACTCGCGAAACATTTTCACAAACACTGCATTGTATTTTTTTAAACAACAGTAAAACATATAAGCAAGTCTTCTATCTGACCGCGTGGTCGGTCTTCAGTGTATGGAATTGGAACACATAATCGAACGAGGATTCTTGATTCCTGATCGCTAAAATACGGACACGCCGAAAACCATTGAAATTTGAACGTTCACCGAGAATTTATTCTTCGCATGTTCATAACAACAAATAACTCACAAATGGACAATAATCACCAAATAAAGCAGAAAGTGTCTCAGAATACAACCGCTAAATTATCGCGCGTCAGGGCATTGTCCCTAAATATGTCGATCACCATGACTTTTGGTTTTCCAGTACTGCATGGAAGTAATTATGAACTCAGCTACTGACAGTGTCTTTGTTCGACGTTTGTCTTCAATTGCCAAACGGAATTTTAAGAATTTTCGTCGTTATATACCATGACCTGTAGTGGTTATGGCGTGGTATGAGACAGCCTGAGACAACTCTAAATATCAGCGCAACTAATAGACTACTAACTACGATACGAGTATTCAAAACGATTGTCCGAAACCTCACAAATTTGCGACAGTCGTGTTATAAAGTAACAGTAAATTGATGATTTTCCGAAATTGTACTGCGACTCTGACGAACTGCGAAGTTTTGGCCAATCAAATTGTTGCTGTGAATAGGCGTAGCTTAAATTGTGCTCAGATCACTAATAATGTTTGTCTGAGATTTGTGGTCAAATTGTTGCATATACTACGTTTTCGGAGCTTTAATCAGTCCGTAACGAGGTTGCGACATATAATTACGGAAATTCTAGAGCGCCCATCGTCTATTCAATAAAGACAGCCATCGTACAATGCTCATGTCTATGATCTAGCCAACACATAATCTTCAACTAATGATCTTTTAAATCAGAAATCTATTGTATCATGGCGGCTATAGAACACAACTTACAGGGTGTGACGGCATCCTGACGCTGCTGCAGTTCGTCTACGTGGTTCATTATATAACTAATGACGTTATTTCTTCTACCGCCCATACATTGGGGAGTAAAGATGGCAACACATAGGCACAAAGTCAACGCAATCGATGTCATTTTGCAGTCTGGGAAACCTCTGAAACTGATATTGTAACATGATATGGATTTAAAACACCTTTCTGCATGCACGAACCATTCAATGAGGGGGAATTTTAGTTTCCAAACTTGTTGTTGAATTGTTAGAGTATTATTCAACTGTTTTCCCAGTAAGGATTTGATAGTCAAAGTATTAAATGTGACGTATTAAATTATTCAGATGTATTTGGATATAAATTATATAATAATATGTATACCTACTCAACTGATTGCGTGACTGTCTGGTGACTTTTAAAATTACTGTGCTGAGACAAGCTGAACATTAACATGTGCTAGTTGAAAGTCCCTCTACCAGAAAGAGTTACAATTATCGGGCAGGTTGAGGCGATTTGTTTCACTTTTATCTTTTACACGCCTGCGACAGAGATAATTTCAATAGCGTGACTGGCTCGAAAACACGCAGCAAAGAATTTACAACAGTTTGAAAACTTGAATAAAGTACAACATGGACAGTTACTGTGAATGAAAAACAGTCCAACCAACAATATTGCAATAAAGCTTACTGTTTTGCGAACAAAATAACAATATTGAAAGTTCAAATGTAACTGTTTGTAATCTGATATCAATATTGCTACTTTTATGTTTGTTAGCGGAACAGTGAGCTATATTGCAATACTGCTGGTTGAGTTGCTCTTTCGTTCACATTGACCGTGAACTGAAGTAATGAAACGAACATAATTGCTTACCGTTAACTTAAAGTCTAGCTTCTGAACTGACAGCGTACTTGTGTTGGTTCAAACTGAACTACTGGTCACTATGCTTACATGGCAACTTGGACTTAAACACTTAGTCACCGTGGCTTTACATATGTAAATATCGACACTGTATGGTCATTTGGGATTTGTTTTATTTGATCTACCACTACACTTATTTGTCGAATTACGATGGCTGTGATCCTGTGACTGTTTGATGAATTCTATTTTTAGGAAATCTACAATTTACAGTAAATGGATATGTTTGATAATTAAATCCTCCAGCCATCGGACGACGTAGTCCAGACTCCCAGTACATATCGTTTTCGCCACTTGCGTACCTTGCATAGAAAATGACTAAATTGGTCGGTATTCATTATTGTATATCTTTTAAAAAAAAGAACTCCACAAAATATACTCTGGCTTTGTATTTTCGTCGTTTTTCCATCTTCACACGTGAAATGTAATCCTCTGCATGCTCGCGGATTAACTGAGAATGTGCATACAATGCGGGATGTTTAACAAAGTAAACCTATATATATATACAATTAGGATGCCCCATTTCTTGCTTTTCTCTACTGTTAATATGGTTGCAAGTGAATACAAACTCCACGGGACGCAGCTTTATTGTGTCTGTTGAAAAGAGGACTCGTCAGAATATGCGGTATTCACACCTCGCTCAGTCCCTGTACTGCGATGCTTAAAGACCGAGGCTCACAGTAAAACTTTTTGAGTGAGTATATCCATGGAACAATTATAGTTCCATGGTATATCTAAACATGCGCAAAACCTTCTTTCAACTCATGGCCACTCACTCACTCAAGAAGAGGCACTAAAGGAGACACATTTGTTTCATTTTGATAAATGAGACCCCTCCTTCCTTTGATTGACAAAAATGATATCGCTCAACACCAGACATACTAAATAAACATACCCACGTGAAAAACATCGTAGCCTTCCGTCAACAGATCTCATAAGTCTCCCTAACCAAAGACTATAGAGAAGATAGTCTTTGCCTTAACAGACGTCTCTCGTTTCTATTTCAGATATTATTTTATTTATATCAGTTCAATGATATTTTTTTAAATGGTCTGACAACAAATCAAAATACATGGCATATACAAGTGGTAGAGCGGCTTCAACAGGTGTGCTTGATCACCTGTCACGCGTACAATGCTCTGTTCAAGTTCTCGTGGGATATTTAACGAGTGACTTAAAGGCAAACACGAATGGTAAATACAGTAGAACTTGTTTACTCTCGCTAGTTCCTTTGCAAACCAGTCACAAGTAAAGAATCTCTGACGTCACTTACGTCATAGAAAACCTCACTAGCGACTGGGTGCAACAACGTAGCATTTTCAGCCCGGTGGATGTAATAATTTTCGATTCCCTGCGTAGCACCTATTGAGACGGAGACTTAGAAAGATTACAAGATATATTTTGCTCGGAAGCAAAAACAAAAATCATATTAAAAGTCACCCCTGCGTTGCTTAGTAACCACTATTATTAGACTCGCGGCTCTTGACTTGATATCACAGTTCGTATCCGCATGAGATTTTATGGGGCCAGGTAAAGTGTTGTTTTTTAACAATGGAATGTTTATTTTCTGTCGACCACACAAACATCAAATACCAGAACAAAATAGACAATGTTTTGTCCCACGTCACGGTATTAAATGCCTATCTCATGGTATGCTTGACCTCATCCTATATAGCGTTACTCAAATGCAAACAATACTGGGAGACATCAGAGACGTTGAATGCTGTGTCGACTTTCACTAAGTTCTTTCCAAAATCTGCCACCATAAATCTAATAGTTCAGTCTCGTACAGCCAACACTGACGACAATGGAACACGTGCAGGTCATAATTCCGAGTCTATCTATCGCCAAAGCCTACAAATCCTAGTATGCATCTTACAGCCGATATGTGGGCTTGGGAATTAGTAGTATTTAACTACGTAACGTTTAATATATAGAAAATTATAGTAGGTAATTGTAGTCCCTTGGTAAGTATTCAGTATAACCATGGCTTGATTTCCAGTTTCTGTCGTTCCTGATTGTTATACTGCCCCCAACGCCGACAGCGCAGCAGTAAGAACCAGACGTTTTTTAAATATTTTTTCTCAATGGCAGATCTGAGAAGAGATCGTGAGAGTGATGTGTTCTGTTTCATAGCTGATTTGTTTAAGTGTCAGGGTGAATCAACTATTTAATTTTAATTCTTATTGTTTTAGTCACAAAATCTCACTATGATCAATATAATTCCCTTTCTGATAAAATAGTCACGTGTTCAATGTGATAAAAAATATTTATATGGAGTTTGTTATTAAAATTACACATAGAACGCGTAATGAGAATGAGAACCGCCAAACACTTTTCAATATTTATTATATTTCAGTTGAATTCATATGGTTGTTGGTAATATCAGAGGTACATTACTTGGGGTTTGCAACTACGGTGACATGATACCAAGATCCCGTCACAATCTCGCTCTCACATAAGGACTTTTTTTTCACACTTTTTGTTTTGTTTGTTTTTAACTTTATTACCTTCTACATGTGTAGAAACCAAAAAAGAATTGTCAAATTTTCTTTAACGTTGTAATAAAGCAATATTCTATTCTATTCATAAGCGTTCCAACTCAGAAAAATGCGAATGCGCATGCCCGAGGTAACTAGGATACTGGGATGTCCAGGTGGATCAAAATAGCTGCCCACGATATGACGGATTACGAGAACTATATTTTCTGTACATTTTCGATGTATTACATTTTTCACTATGATAGTGACAAGAAAAGTTTTATTTTTTCATTACAAACCTTGAACATTGATATGTGTCATGTCAGAAGGTCGTAGCCTCAGTCTCGCTATGTACGATAAGAGACTTGAACGGGATCTTGACATGATGTCACCATACAGTACTATGCGAGTTGCAAACCCCAAGTAATGTACCTCTGGTAATATTAATTCTGTATCTTTTTTAAATTTTCTCGTACGATTTCACAATTTTGACATCTATGCCCGTGGTTTATTGTAGTTGCGACAATTTTCCCACAACAAATCATACACATTTCCGTCAATGTATGTGACTATGGTTACCGCAGGTGTTGTAGCGCCTCCAACGCTCACAATAAAAGTATACTTCATGTGGCATGTATGAAAAGATGTAGAGCTCATAGATAGTGTTATATTTTTTTTTCTTCGGGTCAAAGGTAGCCAATGATCATTCAAATGGCCTTGATTTAAACCAAGCAAATAACACCGAATAAACGGCAAGGTAAAGACTATGTCTAATTATAGTAAACACGTACTGCGTGCGTGACTCGAAACGGCGCTCGCGTACGGCACCTAATCGCCTAGCTTCACGCCACTACACGTCTTCCCCTCGGCCACCGGGCATCCCCAAAAAAGGATGCTTAATAACCGAGCTTATTACGTGCAGAGAACATGAAACCCGTCCACGCGATCCGCGCCACACAGCTATACTGGGCAAATGATAAAGGAGATGAACAGGCTATTGTAAATACATGCGAGTTTGTTCAAGCTGTTTTCAAGTTTAATCGGGGTGCTTTAATTGAGACTGACTTCAGGTCGGGTTGCTGAATTTGTCATGTTCATATCAAAGATCCGTAATCAGGTGTATCCGTAGTCAGGTTCTTTGACAGCTACTTGCTATTACAGTCACATGCCTGAAAATCGAAATAAATGGATCAGTACTATTTTTATAAATTTATTTTTTTCAGATTCGTTCATCTATAATAATATATTATCATTGATTTATTCTCAGCCTCCAAGTGACTTCGCTTGTACATTTTAGGTTTCACCATAGTTTGAGTTTTCTTTCGTGACTGTACCTGCTGTGAGGGGCCTACAGCAGTGAAAGTAAACTTTATGATGTCTGCAGTTGCTGGAAGCCGGAGTAACATGTTATTTTGTTGAACACCTTGCGTACCACAATCCCGTTGATAAGGATATTAGAGTGTTGATCTACTCTTTGGAACATGGCGCGCACAAAACGTTTTTGCAGCGCACTATTATCATTTTGCTTGGTGAAATGTCCAAAAGAGTAGCACACAGGCGGACGAAAACACGCGAAACTACGTTTCATTATTTGAAAAATGTACCGATATTTGCCGACGACTTCAAGACTGCATACTACTGCATACTCTCATCACAGTGACTATTTGGCCGCCTCAAGTGTAAATATTAGGACGCCGGGAACCAGCGAAAGTGACTGTCTGTCACGAGAATTGCCTTACCGAACACATTCAGGGTTGAGGGCGCTATGTTCAACTTTCGAAAAACGCTTCAAGTGCACGATTGTGTTTTAACTCATAAATGTTGTCTTTATTTTCAAATGATTATTTATAAATTATCATGAATACAAATGTGACAAAAATAAATTTACTCGTCTATATTTCACTGATTTTTTTTGAGCAAATGATTTTTTAAAATATCATTCTTGCCATGTCAACTGAAGGATCGTACCTTGTTATTAGCTGAGATACCCTAGGACAAGGTACGAAGTGATCTACTAGAATTACGCGCGCGCGAAAGCAGGGAAGATAGTTCGTAGGTCAATTTCCCCGGCGTTCAATCGCACAAATTAGGAAGTTTGTGACATTAGAACAACATTACTGCAAGTTAACCCACATATGGACCAACGTTTTCTCATTTGAGACATCTTTGACTTCTCAGAATGGCTACAACTACCACAGTCGTTGTCACCGAGAGACAACCAAATTGTTGTCGTGCAGCAATCCCAGCACTTCATATTGCCGGCGCTGCGGTGGCTTGTGTATTTAATATATTCATTCCTGGCTTTGGTAAGTTTGTATGGTAGTTCAGTAGTTTGTAGAATTGCATATACTCATAATTTGTCTGTGAACATTATGATCTGACTTGTTTGCTTGAAACTTGAAAAATCTATCAGCGTTGACGCGTGGTTTTAATGGTGACTCTGAGTGAGATTGTGATTTATTTTATCTAGGGATGTACCCGAACCAAGACGACATACAATAAATATAAATAACTTGAAGACTTCGCTTAAACAAAAAAACACTATTTTCATTGAACAACTTACAAATTTAAACTTTCTGTGACCATTTTCTAGATTCAATATTATGATCGCTGTTGCTAGGATACCGTTCTCGACCACAGCGCATCCGGGTGATTGATATTCTTACCGAAACCATGTTCGTTTCAGACCAAACCAGTCGTAAACAAAGTAAACAAATGATCTGTGTATTACGTCAAAAAACCAATCGTGTTTCACCCAGCTTCCACTGCCAATTTGAAAAGACGTCAGACGTCAGACGTCATCGTAGCCC